TTTATAATGAACACGGAATACAAAATAAATTAAGAAATGAAATTAAAGCTGGAAGGAACTAAAAATAAAATCCGCAAAATATTATAATTATTAAAATCCATCAAACCCAAACTCCAAAACTCCATCAGTTTACAACTTGGGAATCCATCTCTAGTGGACCCCTATTAAACATCCAAACGGAAGATAGAACAAATGTAATAAACGTCCAGAAATAAAACTATAGAGAGAGCCCTACATCATTGAAAGAGTGAATAGAGACCTCTGCTCAGCACGAACACGTCTAAGCTTGGAACTGTCGTGTACCTGAAAAATAGAAGTGGGTCAGGCCCACGCGCAAGTTCTATACTACTACAATCCAAACAGAGGCCCGATACGCATGTACATCCTAAAAAATTCAACAATAACTAATAGTCCGTAAATATATATATAGTCACACTAAAGGACTCTCACTGGACTACAGGCCAGTTTCAACCTGAATAGAGGTAACATGCTAAAACGCACACGAAGTGGGCATATGTACCTATACCTAAACAGGGTACACCTCCAACCATCGTAGCCAGCTACACATCCCGATGCATATACTCTCCCTAGCCATCGGTCCTGAGGCTCAAGCTCATACCGAGGCACCATAACAGTACATATATAAAATCCATCCAAAATCCCTGGTATTGCCGCTCAACAAGTAGTTGCCATGATAATACAAATCCACGGGACTTAACTTTTAGTTAATCCCATTCTTATTTCAAGTAGGTGGGTAATGGTATTGATTTAAAAATCAAACCCATCCTTAGTATGCCACCGTCCCATACCGGTGCCTACTTTCCAATCCTCCAGTAGTCAATAATACCAATAAATCAAGTATATATCAACTAAATTCCAACATCCAACATTCAATGTTAGCAGTGATAAAATAAGCATTGATAAACAAGGTCACAACAACAACATATACATGCCCAATTTAAGTTGTTCCCTTTAGTCTGATATAAAGACAGAATTAATTAAAACTTCCATTTAACACCTTACAAATGACATACAGATATGTAGGGTATGTATCACAAAATCCTAACCTCCACAGTTGATACTAACTGTGATAATGTAAGCATCAAAACAATATTCACAGTATGTATGTAGACATGCTCAAATTATAGTGTTCCACAAAACCGATCTAGTGTTAAACTCAAATCCTCCTAGTATTTAAGTTCCAACAGTTGCTATTATAGAAGTTAAGATAGCTATCATCTAGACCTATCCTTCCAATAATTTATACTAGTAGTGGTAAGGAAAAACGTGAACCACAGAACCACAATGCATCCACAAACATGCTTAGTCTAGGTTGAACAAGCATACAACACTACTGTAACTACCAATTTCATAGCAAAACAGATATCATTTTAGTTTGGTTTAATCTTCATTAATCCTGGAATCATTTAAGAGTGCAAAGAGTATGAAGCCTAAGGGAAAGAGTAAAGATAGAATCTTGCCTCAGAAACTTTTGTTCAAAGTTTCAATGTTGTCTTCTTAAAAAATCCCGGCGAGTTCCAAAACCCGGTTACTGTTCACTGGTACGAAACACTATTCCCGAACTCAAAATCTGATCTCCACCGTTCAGATTGTGTAACACTGAGTCATGAACCTATCCTCCAAATTTCAACTCGATCGAACCACGGACGAAGCGGGATCGGATGTTTGATGAAATCTGGGCAGAATGAAAAAAACCTGTGCGACCCAGTTACTGTTCACGAGTACGAATCACTGTTCCCGAGGTCAAACTCTGATCTTCACCGTTCAGATTGTGCGTCACTGAGTCATGAACCTTTCCTCCAAAATTCAGCTCGATCGGACCACGGACGAAGCGGGATTGGAGCTTTGATCAAACCTTGGCAGAATGTGAAAAACTGCGTTTTTCCTTCTCCACTTCCACAAAACGTGTGCTTTGTTTAAAAAAAACCCTACATAGACGTCTACCTTATACTTATAGAGTTTTCCTAAACCCTAGGTTCATTTAAGTCCAGCTCACAATCCTAACCAGCCCATCCAATTAACGTAGAAACATACGACGGCTATAATATAAAACCCTAATTTATACTGTAATTAAAACCCTAGTTAGATGTATTTACCTAATTACCCTATTCACCATTAAATACTTAACAAATAATCTAATTGAACAAAATAATAATTAGTAAACCCAATTAAACCAAATAAGACACACATAAAATAAGACACACATAGAATAATTAAACCAATTACACTTAAACCATTAATGCCAATTAAATAATTAAAACACTAACAAGTAATTCTAATCAAATAACTAAACCAATTACACTTAAACCATTAATGCCAATTAAATAATTAAAACACTAACAAGTAATTCCAATCAAATAACTAAAAATAAATATCATTTAAATAAATTAAATCACCACAAAAGAAAACAATTAAGCACATAATAAAAATAATAATGAAATTAGGGGTATTACACCATACGTCGACTGGTTTGGAACGTGTACAAGATTGGAACGTGTACAAGATTACCACACTGTAAGATACCGGTTAACGTATGACTTTGGCTCATTCAAGATTGGAACGTGTACAAGATTACCACACTGTAAGATACCGGTTGACGTATGACTTTGGCTCATTCACGTTCAAAATGCTTACTGTATGGATGCCACATGTCGACTGGTTTGGGTTATCCAGACTCGGTTGCCACTGTACAAAGAAAAACCAAACACTTGATGCTCAACCACTCACGCCATTACCCTATATACTTCAACATCAAATTGTAATAACAACCACCACGTTGATAACGTAATTTACAATACGTTACTTAAAATACACAAAACTAATTTTGAGTGAGTAATACTTAATTACATTTTCCAATGGCCATAATTGTAAACTTATTTACATATTCCAAAAACTATGATTATACATGTAATGGCCAAATACAAAATATCAAAAAATCTTCTAACAACTTTCAAGCTTTCGGAGGATTCTTATCCACCATTTTCTTGCCATGACCTGAAAAATATAATAATATAGTGGGGTGAGTAATTTGCTCAGTAGGTGGCGCCTAAAACGCACCTCATGAGACCCCGTGAATCCAAAATAAAAAATAGGCCAATAGGAGTTGGGGTCATTCAACATAGGAAAAATACAACATGGTTATCATCCTTAATTCAACATAGGAAAAATACAACATGGTTATCATTCTCAACACAAATAATAAGATGCAATGCATGCCGATGTCGCTCCCCATTTTCACAATTAGAATCATCGCTTTCAAACTGTTAATGTAACCCCCTTTGGTGACTCCGCAGCGCCGAGAGAAGGATTAGCTACTGTCCCTGACCTTTGGTGACTCCGCAGCGTCATTATGGGGCCCAGATAACTCAACCACGCTAGGGCAATCTCCCTAATTCCTTCTAGGTTACATTAACCTACCCGCCCGTTGGTGACTCCGCAGCGACCGGGTTTTCCAAAATACTTTCATCAAAATATTCTTTCCCAAAACTCCCCATTTTCATTTCAAAAATAATTTCTTCCCTTCATGCAACCCAATGGTTTACATGCATGTCTCATGATCACAATACTATGAAAATGAAGAATTTGACATAACACAAGTAAACATGTTCTCATACTTTTAATATTTAGACAATAATGGATTATCACAAAATACAATAGGGCATGCTTTCATATACCATTCATAACATGTGAACAATACAATAGGCATAAAACTCATTATATAAGCATGCTTCTCATATAGCACAATCAAGACAAGTCTTCACATATTCACATATATACAAAATACATTTTAGGCTTCAATTAATACCAATAAGCATGTTATAACACAATTCAAGTAGAATAACTCACAAAGGTGCATGAATAATGTGAATTAGGAAGCCCCTACCTCAAAATGAGCAAAACCCTATAAATGGGTCAAGAATTTCGAAATCCCTAGGAGGCACCAAATCTGAATTTGCTGGTACTTAAGCGTAGAGCTCACCGTGCTCTCCGATTTGCCTCAAACGATATCCAAAATCTCTAAGTAATGAGAGAGGAATCCAAACTCAAAGTTTGGTAACAAAATGGAAAAGAAAAAAGAATGAAGAAGAGAAGAGAGAAAGGGAGGGCTACGGGAGAGAGAAAATGAGAAAGCCAAAATGGGTTTCTAGACCACTTATGTGGTTAATGGTGGTCCCATCAATTTTATTTTCTTTTCCCTTTTTCTTTTACTTTCATTATCCACCTCATCCACATTTAATTACATGCACCACCAAGTAAACACCACATAATTATAGAAATTAAATTACACACAATGCAAATGGACCCAACTAAAAATCTCGTACGCAAAAATATAAAAGGACAAAAATGCCCTTGCGACGACTAAATTCTAAAAAAATAAAAATTGCCGAAAATTAAAAACGTCACATAATTATTTAAAGAAGAACCAGTCATCTCCTAACTTCACATCACTTATATAACAACTACCTTAAATCGCTTGTGCAACATCACCAATGCAACAACCACTTTAAATTGCTTGGGCAACAACTTTACGTCACAACTATCTTAGATATCTTAGATTACTTCCGCAACAACTTTATATCACATATATGCAACTACTTTCGCAACAACTTTATATCACATATGCAACAACTACCTTTAATCGCTTGCGCAACTACTTTAGATCACTTCCATAACAACTACCTTAGATGGTTTATGACTGCCTTAGATTGCTTATGCCACAACTACCTTTTATAGATTGCTTATGAAACAACTTTACATAGTTGATTCGTAGCAATGTGTTGCTCGACCAAAGTGATTTAAATGATAAATTTGATTATTAAAAATTTGTCAAAGCATCCACTACTCTTACAACATACCTCCACTTCTTATTTACTCCATCCTCATTTCCATTCTCTCTCCCCCACATCATTCATTCTACATGCACTATGACTACTAATCAAGCACATTGTTTACTAAAAAAATAAGTAAAAAGAGAAGGGTGCGATGAAAATTTCTTATATTACCATTTATTTCTTTCTTACATGTCAGGAGCAAAAAGAAAATAGCTATCCAGGGTACAAAAAAAAAATATAAGGAAAAGGTCAAGAAAAAAAAATTGTCCTCCTAAATTAACAGGTGATGTTGATAGGGCCTAAGAAGCAGCAGCTAAAGGAGGGGGTGGTGTAGCTCCTTGAAAGAAACTTGATTGTAATAAATTAATATTACTGGTTTCCTTACTTCTATCGGCTTCAACTTCATCATCTTCTTCGTCAGCATCCCAAAGAAACCGAGCATATGAAGCCAAAACATAACTGCATCGGTAAGAATAGATGAATCAATTCAACTGAAGCCTAGATAATTAAGAAGATGCTCAACAATAGTACTATATGATATGTGATAATTATCCAATACGAATACAATACGAATATGATTACGATTCTTACCAGTCATCAGGGGCAGCTTTAACTGCTTGATCAAAGTAACTCCCAGCACGATGCACATCCTTATGTGTCTGCCAAATCAAGTCAGCATAGAGTGACAGAACATTCCCATCACTAGGATTCGTCAATATTGCTCTGCTACAATACTCTTCAGCCTTTACAAAGTCCCCTCGTACCTGTATTCAGTTCCAAATAACATATTAAAACAGAGAAATTGACCGTCATTGCTAAGGAAAAAATGCAAAAAAAGTTATATTGATAATTAAAAAAAAATCACAAATTGAACAATTTGATATATTAACAACTTCAATCTCAAATGTTGTGTTTGTACATATTATAACATACCTCTTTCAAGAACCTCGCGTAATTGCCGAGAAGAAGAGCGTTTCCAGGATTTGCCTCAATCATGTTCTGATAATAAACGTCCGTAATATCGCTCCCACGATTGGATTCCCAGAAACCAGAACTCCCATCACCGTCCGATCCACCTCCTGCTCCACCACCACCACCACCGATCCGACCACCGCCGCCTCCAACCCCACCACCCACAGCAAGCCCCGCCAATCCCTTCCCATCCCTATCCCTAACTGCACAGCCCTCGTGCACCGCTTCATCCAACCCAATACTCGAAAACAGCAACCGATCCAACGACGCCGATCTTGAAACGGGTCCCACCTCTCCCTCCTCTTCTTCCATCTCAATCGTCGAAAGCCCACCCAAGCTCTTATTGAACGGCCTCTTTTTCAAAACCGAGAGCTCTCTGAGGTCGGTCTCTGACACCGCTCTGGTCATCTTCTTCACGGAATCAGAGCTCGAAGACAGCGAAGAAGACGACGACATTGACGCCATCGAAACCAGTCGAGCCTTGGGAACATGAACGACAATTTCTGGCTCCGGCGAAGACTCTTTCGTGTGCGGTAACCATGAATTCAATACCGGCGTGGAAGCGCTTCGAAGAAGCATTGTGTAACCTCAAATTTCTTACGAAGAGTTGTTGAATTTGTGTGAAAGTTGAAAACCCTAGAGTGAGATTGTTTCCGAGAAAGTTGGGGGATTGATTTTTAGTCGGATCATTGAACGCATTGAGAAAGCAGCTCTTTGCAGCTTTATAGCAGGAATGAAGAGAGGCGTGACTTGTGAGAGTCGATCTCCGCCGTTGATTTTTCATATGGTTGGAGGGCTTGATAGACTACGACGCACGTGTTTTGTTCCAAATGGGCCTGCCCGTATATTCACTTGACAGAGACTACTACGCGGTCCGTATTTCTTTTCGCGAGGCCCACTCCTCGTGCTTAATCACATGAATTAGGACCCATTAAAACCATCTTGACTCAAAAACCGACCGTCCTGAATCGATTAAAATCACATTTAGTCACAAATATAATTTAATAGTTATTAACATATTGGGGACCCACAATGCTTGATCACATGAATTGGGACCCACGAAAACCGTCTTGGCTCGATAATCGACGGTCCTGATTTGATCAATCACGTGCAGCCGAAATCTCTCTTTTTCCCATACTGCCCAAAACTGCTGGCAATAAACTAGGGGTGAGAGAGATAGCGAAAGGGGAGGACTTTTCCGCGGTTCAGCTGCGGTAACACAATAGGACTTGAGTTTCTGTGTATTCACGGAATTGACACTCAAGCATTTTAGTGGCTGGCCTTCGTCGGGGAGGGGCCAGGTGGTGAAGGGCGCGAGCCATTTGCATAAGTGGTGGAACCCATGGACTCGATTTAACGGTGTCTCGTTGGAGTCGTGGGTTCAATCAAAGGCGTGTGACCAGTCACGTCACTGACTGGCTGCTCTAGTGCTCTTGGTGGACGACTTTGTATGCATTCCCACCTGCCAGATTTTTGTGGGTGGTTGTTAAAAAAATCTTTTGTACTTTCCTTGGCAACTTGCACGTTGAGGGCGAATAATGTCTCTTCACATAACCTAGATATTTTTTCTTGAATCCTTTCCTAATGTGTCTTTAGATTTTGGCAACACTGAAGGGACAAATATTGTTCGCACACAGGTATATGGGAAACATATGGTTGCCATGATATAGCCCATAGAATTCATGGGAGAATATTTTTCATTCGCAATGAAGTGTCCAATCTCTCCACTACCACACTATTAAAGATAATACATGATTTATACAAAATCATGATGGTTAATTTATATCCAAATATGACTTGTGTGACCAACTGTCTTTGATACAGATGGTATGATTTTTATCTCTCTAAATATAAAGTGAGAGTTTGAGTCCTACTAACCCTATAGACATTTGTTTGAATTCGTTGAAAAAGTATATGAGTAAATTGCACTGACTTCTTTTGAGGTTTGAATAAATTATATATAAATGTATAATTCAGCATTATTATTTTGTCCTCTCCTAAATCTATTAGCTGTCAATGACGAAAAAGTAATTTTAGGTGTGAAAAGTGAATAATGTCACTGTACCTTCATATTATATTACATCTTTTATAAGAGAAAGGTAAAATTACCAAGGATTTTGTAATTTAATAGTATCTCTTCTACTTCCTAAGGTGAAAAAAAGGAAAAAATAAGAGAAGGATAAAATTGTTATTTTATAAAATTTGGCCTTTGCTTTTCGAAAAGAAAACACTACAGGTAAAACAATAAGGAGTACAACACAATACATATATCACCCTCGAATACATATATCACTCTCGAATTGTTCGATCGTAATGTAGATGGAAATATATATGATCTGTCGATGATTAAAAAATTAAGTTCTAATTACAAAATCTTTTTTTGTTTTTTTTTTTCTTTGCAAATTAAAAAGGAGAGAAACTCGAACACGAACACATCCACTCAAAAAATTGGTGGGTACTCTCACTGCTAATGGCTTTTAATATAAAATCTCATAATATATGGACTTTTAAACAATTAAACATTCCTAGTTCCCTTGCTAAATTATTGGTGTTGAGCATGGAATCTTAGGGTTGGAGTGAGAAAGGCGCATTATATTGGTAGAAACAGAAAAACATCAAGTTGGTCCAAATCAAATAGCAGGCCTCAATTTGCAAAATAGCTCATCACTTACAAGAAGTATAATTATTACATCTCAATCTTGATAAAGGCTAGTGATGACTCCAAAGACTGAGATATCTGCAACATAGAAAGTGTTTATAGTGGTATGGACCACTTTGAGAATGAGATATTGAAATTTATATATAGAACAAGTTGTGTGAAGGAGGAGATTCTAATTTGGTTGGCCATTTGAATATCAGCCTCTTCTTTGTAAACAAGTCTTTTTGTTTCATTCCCTTGCATCTTCCAATTAGAAATGAGATTGTTGATAAATGGGCCCCCACGGCACGTGCTTATCATGCCTCTATGTTGGCAATATTTTGCAATGTATTAGTATTTCATATGTATATAGATTATTACTGTTGCTTTCGGAGAGAAACAAGACAAAGAAAAAGGAATTTTTTTTTTTTTTTTTTCCTGATAAAGAAAAGAAAAAGGAAATTGACTCCATAATAAATAAATGATGGTGAAGTATTTGTACTTGGAGATATCGTACACACTTCTCTTCCATTTTATGACATTTCAATTTATGTCAATTTATGACAGTCAATTTCATCTAAAGGAATTAACAACTTGTGTTACTTCTATACTTGGTAGAAATTCTTTATATGTAATTTATTTATACAGAAATATATTTATACTTGGAGATATCGTACACACTTCTCCTTCGTTTCATGACTTTTCAATTTATGTCGATTTACGACAATTAATTTTATCTAAATGAATTAACAACTTGTGTTACTTCTATGCTTGGTAGAAGTTTTCCATATATATCAGAGAACTTCTACCAAGCATAGAAGGAACACAAGTTGTTATTTCATGTATAAATAGATTACATATAGAGAACTTATATCAAGTAGAAGTAACACAAGTTGTTAATTCCTTTAGATAGAATTGATTGTCGTAAATCGACATAAATTGAAGTGTCATGAAACAGAGGAGAATATACACACAAAGTCATTTAATTCTCTTATATAATTATATTGTCTTTCTTATATTTTCGTGTGATCTCTTGCTTTGATATAATTCAATGTATAAAAAAATTAGTTACTAAAAAATATATATAATAATCATATTTAACTGTCATTCACACTGACCATTTGATATAATCATATCTAACCGTTATTATATTTGGCGTAAATAAATTTCTTATTTAGCTATTTACTGATGTGTAAGAGATTATTTTTATAATTATTCAGGTTATCAATTTAAATCCTTTGTACTCCCTTAATCTAATATTTATTTTTCGTTATCAGGGTCATATGGTAGAAATTCTACTTTTTCCTGCAAATCATTATATAAAGATAAAAGACTATTCAAACTTCTTCAACCTCATATCCTTTTCGACATTTCAATGTCATTGAAATTATAATTATCGGTCATAATATTATCTTTTGTGGAAAGTGAATAAAATAACAATTATACCAATGCTTATAGAGGAATAGCACCACCTTATTAACAAGTGTCCGTACAAAGCCCACCGCCGGACATCGCTCTACGTTGACAGTTGTCGACAAATGTTGGAGTCAATCCTCCATGGTCACCGGATTTTGAGGACTTCTGTAACAGCTATGTAACTGATTTGGGCTCTTTAAGTCTTGTAGACCTTTGGGCCGAGTTTGGGCCTTTGGTTGTTTAGCTTTCGGCTAACTATCCATTGGGCTTTGTACGGAGACTTGTTAATACTTTATAATTTGACTTGAATTTTCAAAAAAAATGTATCTATATATATATATATCTGAAAATACATACAAATTAAAATTTAGAAAAACTATAAGGCTGATTTCTAACGGTTGAACTCACAAAAATACCCACATTCAATTTGGACATATATGCTTTTTTATTAACAAGAAACTCACATACCTGTTTAATTCTAATCCGCACTCTTTACCGTTTAAAAATAGAGTGTTATATATAAAAATTAAATATTATCTAACTATTAAAAAAAAATGGAGGAGTTGTTTTGTACATTTATATTTATAGTAGCTAAGGGGTGTAGGATAAGTTAATTTCGAAAGTTATTAAGATGAAATGCAAGATTTAGCGACTTCCTAATTATTTCATTTAATATTGTAGCTTTTGCTGTTATATTTTCATTTTATATATAGTTAAAATATATCACGATCAATTTAATAAAACACAAGTTACATGGGTAGTGTTCGAATTAACAACTATAACATAATACTTCTATATTAAAGGAAACTATATAAAGCCCATTGAATTAACAACTATAAAATAATACTTGTATATTAAAGGAAACTAAAGCCAAACTTCACCGTTAACCCTGTGTCTTGTAGGTGTTGAAAACTTGGGAAGAATGCAAAATATAAATATAGCTACCTTTAACCAAAAATTAATTTACGAGAAAAGCTAACTCCGTAAAAAAAATGGGTAATGATTATTTTTAAAAATTTTAAAATTTTAAATATGTGTCTAAATTGTATTGAACCATGAGAGATGAACTTTATCCTAAAAGACCCAAATATTGTCCATAATTATATATGTATAAAAGACATTGTTTCAGTACGGAAACATTATTTTGGCAAGTCCATATTAAAGATTTGAATTGGAGTACTATAGATATAAAAAAAAATTATCGAATAGTCGAAGAAACTACCCAATTTAATTTGAATCCTTACCTATAATAATTTGATTATAGTTTATTTAGTTTCCTTATTGATTGAATTTAAAATGGTAAATTCTATGATTAGATTTGCTTCCGTTATATGAAACTCATTCTCCCTCTATAAAAAATAAACCCTCCCTACAAAATTCCCTTTCTGTTTACTCTCTCTATAAACTACTGCAAAACAAGATCAATCAATTCTTGGACCGAGTCACCTCGAATTAGTTCTCAATGGAGACCTATGCACACATGGTACGTTGCAATAATTGATTATATATATATATATATATATATATTTCTTTCTCATTAATTAATTCTCTACATAAAAATTTATATTTATGTTTGTATGTCTCATATGTGATTTGCAGGGTTGTGTTCTGAAAGTGAATGCGGGTTGTGAGGCATGTAAGATTAAGGTGATGGAAGTTTTGGGTTCCGTTTGTGGTAAATCCCCATTATTTTTCAATATATATGTATATCGATCAATGAAGTTATACTATATTAATGAATTAGAATCAAACCTACTAACGTGTATGTGGCCGGGTGTGTGTATATATATATATATGGTTTTGTAGGAGTGTATTCTGTAACTATAGATGCGAATGAAGGGACGGCAAAAGTTACTGGGGAGGTGGAACCAAATGTGCTTCTTAGGGCATTAGCGGCATCGGGGAAGCATGCAGAGCTGGTGTGGGTGAAGATCAAAAGTCAGCCACCACAACTACCACTGCCGCCGGCAGGTCAATACGGAGGATATGATCCATATGGTTATAATAGATCAATAATAGATCAACCACCCTATGGCATCGGGTGTAGATCATCAATAGAACAACCCTATGGTCCATATGGTTATAATAGATCATTAATAGATCAACTACCCTACCAATACAACCAATACAGAAGGGCAATGCCTGAACGTCATGCATATTGGGGTGGTGGTACTGCAGGTACAAACCAACACTACCAACACTACCCCTTGAGAAGGCCTTCAACACAGATGCCTCCATATCCATATCATGGGCTTTCACCACAGATGCCTCCATATCCATATCATGGTACCTACTATAATTAGGTATGTGCATGTACAGCTCGTAGTGGTTGCTCCATCCAAACCAGAGATGAGCTTCCAATATGTGTTTAAACTAGGGTTTCAATTTTATTAATTACATTTTTTTTTTTTTTTAATTATGTTGATATGCAAGGGGACATTTGATATTAACTGTATGGCCGGCATGCTAATTACTATATATATTTTAATAATTTTGGCTTTTGTGTATTATTCTTTCTTTAATTTAGGTTTTAATTTGTTAATCCATATGATCCAGAGATGCATTCATTCAACGTATGGGTTTTTATAATTTGGTATTACAAATTTCAACAAGAATATGAGTTGTGAACTTAATCATGATTTGAAGTGCTTTTTTTTTTTCCTCGGGAAATTAATTTTCTGGCAAGAGATAGATTAAAAATTTGCACTATCAAAATTCAAAATTCAAAAAGATGTATTTGAAAACAAGAAAAACTCACCTTTTGTCTGTTTATGATATGTAAGTTTGTAGACCTCCTAATTACTCATCTGTAACATACTTGAGAGAGAAAAAATTATCCCAACTTTTTTCAACACATTCATCTTTATGCATTAAAATCAAATTGAATAAGAATTTATATACTTTAACATAACTTCTATAGATAATAAGCAATATAACAAAATATATTTTATAATACAGGGTTAAAAAAATTAATTACATTGATGAAAAAAAAAATTAATTAATTACGTACTTATATAATCTTCTCGGTAGGTAGATCAAACTGTTTGCCCCGTCTTTTTGTACATCTAGCTATACATATATATATATATATATATATATATATATATATTTTCCTCTGTAAAAACTTCAATTTATGGTGAAATTGTTATATCAAAATTCAAATGTAGATAATTAATTAAATAATTTAAAATGTAACGAAAATTTTACCTCTAATGTTGATGGAATTCTTTCAATCCAGGCTATCAAAGTGTTCAAACTAAGTTCATTTAAAAAATTGTCTTAACAAATGTGATGTTTGATTGTTGTGGCTTTTGTTTATCCTTCTTTCTTAACAAATAGAATGAGTCTCTCGAGAGGATCTATAAAAGCGAACAGGCATTTGCATGTTTTTTCTTGTATGGCCCACAGTATGAAGCAATGGTTAAAGAATGCTAAACTTAAATCCTATTACTACGGAACAAGTACATCAGCAACATTAATTTATGGATTTCTAAATAGTTCCAATTTGTCCAGTTTGTCATGGTTAATAGTATAAAATTACAAACGTCCCACTCAAGTAACCAACATCAATTTGTAAATCAGTTTGTATGAAAAAATTTGGAAATCAAAAGGTGTTTGGTTCCCTTGATATGTGTTTGGTTTATTTATTTAAAAGAATTTATTTTATTCACATAATATGTGTTTGGTTACAAAGTCCTTCTACTATTAAATAATTACAAATTTACATAAAAATCCTTATAATATTTATCTACATTTGACATAGTATTGAATCATATTAACAACAATTTTGTAATCCAAAAAAAAAAAAAAAATTATAATTTTAAAAAAATAATAAATTTCAAATAATGTAAACATCCCCAGACTTTAAAAACTAATTTTAAATAAACAATTAATCACTACACATCAATACTATCAATTTTAAATACTTAAGAAAATTAATCTTTAATTGCAGTAACCATGTTAGCTTTTGGGAATATATATATATATATATATATATATATATATATATATATATATATATATGATACTTCATTTCGCTATTTTAAAGAAGATGTTTTTCAGTGGAAAAAAAATATTGTAATAAATTGATATATTGATGTCCAAAGCTCTTAAGAGCCTGTTCAAATATTTGAAATTCAGGTATAACCCAGTAGACTATTTAATGAAAATTGAATGAGATAAACAGAAAAAATATATGGCTGCTGTGTTTAGAGAATTAGAATCCCATTAAAATTGAAATTGCTAAGATATTTGTTGAATAAGATATTTGTCCACACAATTCAAGATTGAGAGGAACGTACTGAAACATTGATCTAGATCGGAAAAAAAGAAAAAAATAATAGGGCAGTGTTGGAATTGGATGAAGAAGAATTGGAGAATAGCATAGTGCATTTATTCTGTGTGTGCTTCTCTCCCAATTTCACAACCATAACTTTGAATAATTTTTGCTTAACTCATAAGAATTCTTTCATTATTATAGAGAGAGACCTTGCTTAGAGAGATTGCTTAAGAGAGTTCGGTAGTGTTCGCGCGACAGTGGCTAAGCGGTAGCGGTGGTGGCACTATGGCGATTTATTGGTGATGGCGGAATAGAGGTGAAACTTAGTCGGTTTTGGTGTAATTTGATTTGGGTCCCAATCTTCACCGGAAAGCACCGAATATGGAGGTCTCCGGCATCATTTGCCGGCAGCTTCCATGTTTCCCAAGCGCTGCAATCGAGATGCTCGATCAATTGATTCAACTTCTGGCATCTCCAATGATGTCCAAGCTCAGTTTTTCGGCAATTGGCGTCTCATGGGCATTTGTGTATCGACATGACCCAGAAAGAATTCTGCTACATCAATGAGCAACTAATCTAATTAAGAAAATATTCTATTAGAAATTATGAACTTGAGAAGAAAAACATGATTATGTGCAACTCTTCCTTAATCTAGTGAGATATGATCAATTACTTTAGGAAATATATTGGGGTAAAATCGTTAATGTAATATGTTACTTAAAATGATCCACTTGACTTCCAAAATATGAATTTAAAAAGCAAGTTTTGTAGACTTCTTCGTAACGGACTTTCACTTTTTTTAGAAGTCCATTTTATATTTTACGCCAAACCACCCTATTTTTTCAGTAATCAAAAAAATAAATTAACGAATTTGAGTTCTTATATCATAATTATGCATATCGTGTTTTAAAACTCAATTTATTTTTAAGGAAAATGATATTATTATTGACGAGATTTAAAATTATATTATTACTAATCTTTTTTATTTTCATTAATACGTCTCTTTTCCCTTCTTTATTTTTAGTTTTCCATAACCTTTTCCTTATCTTTTTAGTTTTCCATTTATATTTGTATCATCATCTTTTTTTCTTTCCTTTTTTACGTCAAGTTTCATCATACTCTAATACAATACTTTGAAAATTTCCAGATAGATTATTAGTTTTAAATATTAATCATTATAACAATTAATAAATACCTATCAAATAATTCATGTATATTAATGATCAAAGACACAGTTTTATCTCATAAGTTCTTACAATGCGAAACTGTAACTTTTTAAATAATTAATTACTTTATGTTTTTAATATGAGCCTCATTATATTTGACACCTAAATAGTCACATAAACACGATCCTATTATATTTGACACATAAATAACCATACTCGGTTGAATTAGTAGGTTTTTATTTATCGGACTAAATAATAAGACTATTTAATTCATTAACTGTTTTAGCTCAATTTTATTAATGCATAACATATTTTAATTCAATTATTATGGTTATTTCAATATAAACCCAATAAAAGTTTTAACACTTGTCTTTAATTTTTTTAAAAATTAAAGATGAATCACCCCATGGAATGACATGTTTGATGGTGATGGAGTTCTGAGAGGCGTGATTTTTCAAATAGGTTATAAATTGAGATTCGATTTACCATTAAAAACGGTTTGATCCATTTCTCAAATCCCTTTTTACCATTACATAAATTTTAGATAGGTGTCAAAATTTCATTGGTCCACATCACCCGTAGGAGGAAGTTTCTCCTGATAAGACAGGAGGTCCAATAAGGATACTACTTTTTATCCTAAACCGTTTTGAAATATTTAGTACATTTCTAGATAGATTGTGTGGTCTAATTCGTGAGTTTACTAGGTATAGTTGGAAACAGAGAAGTTTTCGGATAAATTATCTTCTATCATGATGGTCTTGAAGTTTTACATACAATCATCATTGTTTCAAAGTCTAGGTCTTTCTCTATTTGCTTCCTGGGATTGTCGTCGATTCCTGTTCCTGGGATTTTTGAGGTAAGTTTGTTCCAATTTTGTTTTTGCAGTTTATAAGAATATCTAACATGTCGATGATGTTTTTTCTTGGTTGTTCACGGTTGCTGTTTGGTTTAATAATCATATGGTAAAATAAACTTGCTATTTTATTTCTGTTTAGCACATTTATTTGTATTCTTATATAGATTGAAAAAAAATTGATTATTTTTTTTTTACTCAAATTGTTTTCAACACTCAAATTCATTAAAAACTAAAAATTTCTAGAAGTGACTTGTTTTCAATATTTTATAATCTTTATGTTGAAAATTGCAAAACCAATACTAAATTGGCCCTTGATTCTTGACCATCCCTTAAGTTAGTCACCACTTACAGGAAGATCTTTTGCACAATATAATTGTGTCAGTTTTACAAAAGCCTCGATCCATGTGTAATATTAGAGTGACAATTTTACTCAATGCCTTTTGTGCTATATTTCTATCAATTTTGATTACTTCTCACATCTCTTGGTATGTCACTGGGTATTTGAATTCATTTTACTTTTAATATGTAATAATACCTATTCCTGCTAGACTTTGTTTTCATACATTAGAAAAGCAACTTAATGTTCTTGTGAATCAAGCGAAATCTGAGTTTTATCTTGAAAGAAATATGGAACAATAACATGTTTGATTGACAGCCTTCTTGAATAAAATATATTGAATTAAGAGCTGGAATGATGTGCTTTACTTAGATGTATTGTGTTTCTTAATTTTTGTAAAAATAGACATATAAAAATCTAGGATTCTACTCAGGATATGGATGAAGAATGTCGGGCATTATTTTCTTTCAAGGCATTACACAATTCCGTAATTGTTAGCTTACGTGCAATTTCCATTGGACGACAACCAATTGTTAACCAAATGGAATACATCATATATACAAGTTTGGTTCCGTTCAATTAGTTGCCCCAAATGTAAAATTCCTTACACTGTTATTTCACGTGTAGTGTCCTCTTATTTCAATTATTTATTCTCTTTCAATTCTCCATCTCTCTACTTACAAAATGCTGAGTACGTTCTTTTTCTGTCTTGTCTGTATCTTTTTTAGGAGTCAAGTTCTATCACCAAATTAGAGATGGAAGGATTCAAGATAGTATTGCTCTTATTAGCAGCTTCTCTCTTTGCAATTCCATCTTCCTTTGGCATATCTGAACCATGTAAGATGGTTTATACTGAAGATGGTCTTCGTGCTATTCTTCAATCTCCAGAATGTTCTGATTGGATTATCTGTAAACTACCTTTTAAAAACCAGACTAGGAATTGCCAATTTTTATATATGCATGGACGAGATGATCAGAAAGATGATGATCGGCTTTCATGTAACCTTGATTGGCAGATCCTATTCCCTGGTAATCTCATCCCTCTATCATTATCGTTGCTGTTATATTATTATCTAGTACGTAATGCATTATGTAAATCACTGCAACAATTGAACTTACTTTATTGTATTTTATAGTCTGAGTTTACATGACAAAAAGCAAAGAAAGTTTATGTTAAGCATAAATGTTGGTGCAGGTAAAAATGGGCATGAAGAGGTCAGGGCTGGTGTGGTTGCAGTATTTGATGGTCCTAATGGTTACGAAGCCAGTGAGATGGCTTCTAAACTTTTATTGGATTATTTTTCATTGCACTCTACATTTATTGCCGACAAGGGAATGTTACAATTTGAGGAAGAAAATGTCATGGTTGCTGAAGAACCTAACAAAGATGAAAAACCAGATCAGTATAATTCAATTCTTGTGAGGTCTGTCTTCTTTTCATCGTATCATGACTTTATCATGAAAATAAAGGACGTGCAAAATTATTCTTTTCTGCTCCTCTTTGTGGACTTTAAGTGTGCTCACAATTTAGGGGTGGCAAAATTCAACATGACACGAAGTTAGCGGGTTTGGATTGACCTTGATTGTGGTCGTGTTATAATCGTGTCAACCCAGTCTACATGTTTATTTAGTTGTGTCGTGTTCATCTTTTAGAGCTCAACCAGTTTAACTCAATTAGACCTGTTTAATTAATTATGTCATAATTGTGTCAGTTTAACCTGATTATGTAACCTATTTTAACCCTGTTACTACTGACATTTTTTATTATTATTCAAGTATAGATCAAATACGGATATCGTGTTGTCCTTTTTTTTTTTGGTGGTAATTATATTGTCCTCATTTTCTTGAACACGTTTTTAAATGGATCATGTTTTGCCGTGAGTTACACGACCCAGTAATTAAACGAGTTACATGGGTAGAGTTATGTTCCCTGTTTAATTAACAACTCGTGATTGGGTTAACCTATATAAACAATATACTATTAAGTTGAAACAACACAATATTGGCCCGTCAACACGAATTGCCACTCCAGCTCTTGTTGAAACAGTTCAAGTTTATTTATGCCCCTTTTTATGCAATGTACCTTTCTACATCATGTAGAAAGGAAGCCGTCGATAGAGGTTCAAAAAAGTTTGGCGTTGTCTACCATTTTTCTTATTCCTCTATATTGTTGTAACTGTAAAAACTAAAAAGCAAATATCAACAAATTTTCTGTACATTGCTTAAGCTCTTACATTAGATATATAGTGAAGAATGACAGTTTGAAAATTCTGGGTATTTGTGATTGATCCTAATTGAATTTAAACTCCAGTATATGCATACTGGTTGTTTTGTGTCAACCATTGTTAGTCTATTTTCAGGTTTCAATGTGTTGTAAGAAAAAAATTTGCTCACAGAGAGTAAATCTTTTCATACTTGTTCTTTTAGAAGTGAACTTGATATGTAACCTAAACAATAATAGTTGTGATGTTAAAAAGTCAGCTTAATTACCTAGATTCATATTAAATTTTTTTTTTTTTTTTTAATTTTTTTATGCTATTGCGGTTCTAATGGAAGCCCATCTGTTTCATCGGATGAATCAAGACATGAGAATTTTGAAAGAAGCGCTGTTGAGAACAATTCGTGATATTGATTTAGCATTCTCTGAGGCAAGTACATCACTTCTAGTCCTTGTTTCCAGTTCTTTACAAAGTTTTTATTGTAGTCAAAATATCTTTCTTCTAACTGTTGCATGGGAATCTATCATTTTCAGGAAGCTGTCACAAAGAATCTTCGTTCAGCTTCTACAGCCACGATTGTTGCTATGGTACATGGTCATATTTTAGTTGCCAGTGTTGGTCATCCCAAGGCTTTGCTTTGCTCTGAAAAAGTTCATTCTCATGAAGACATGGAAGGTTTAACATTTTTTTTTTTCTTAGTTTCAGTCATTCATTAAGTTCAGTTATAAATTCACTCATCACTTGTGTGTGATATACTATAATTTAACGAATTGTACATTCACAAAAAAACATAAACTTAACAACTCAGACTTAGTGCATTTTTTAGACTAATGTCTTCCCAAAATAACAGGTATCTTAGGGTCTTACCTTTCTCTTAAAGAATTGACAAGAGTTCCCCCTCCTACGAAAGAAGATGAACGAGCCCGCCTTTTAGCTCGCGTTTTACCAGCCGATGGTTTAGTTTTTTCTTTTGGGGATAGGCCTCTGGTGGACGGTTTCAATAATACAACTCCAGCTATTGGCTTTACGTTAAAGAGGTTTGGTTCCCAACAACTAGTGACAACTTAACTTGATCCCCATAATTATGTTCAACTTTTCACTATTTGGGTTGATTTTTTTTTTTTTTTTTTTCTTCTCATTTGTGTGTTGGTGTTCTTTCATTTTTGTCAGTAATGGTTTTATAGAAGAACATGAAGTGGCTGACTGGCAACCTCTAACAGCCGACGACATCTACTTGGTAGTTGCAACAGGCGTATTTCAAAGGCTGACCCCGCAGATGGTCTGTGTGATGTTTTACCTATTTCCAAAGTGAAGCACTGTTCCTTCTTGACCAAGGATTCTGACTGCGTTTACTTCACTGCATTTTTTAATGGCAATGCTCTTGACAACTCATCTGTTATTGTGGTACCCCTGAGATCAGCTGGTTTGACCCCTGAAAAGATTTCATGATGGGGGGATATAGATTATCATTGTTTCTTTCTTTCTTTCTTTTCATAGACAATCATTACAAATATTTATCAGTGTAGATGCTTGGTTACTGTATTAAATTATGATCAATTCCATCAATATTGTTTTGTGATGGATGTGTGTATATGTAGATATAAAAAAGGCTGAACATACCATGTGATGGAATAAAAGTTCAAGTTGACTGACCCTTTATTTTTATGGGTCACTCAGATTTCCTAATGAAAAGGTGCGCGCGCAAACCAGATGGTGAAAAGATGTGTGTTTTTAGGTTTGTAACACTGTTGTATAAGACAGAAATTTAAAGCCAATGAGTGGAGTGGAGTCATCGTGGTCAGGATTTTATGCCACCAAACTAAGTAAACAATTTAGAGAGTGATGGATCACACTCTTTGGTTAGGTCTCATTCGAATAAGACCGAATCAAACACTCTTTGGTTAGGTCTTATTCGAACCTCTTTGCCAATCAATCCAACCTTGCCATAAATAGAGAATGCAGTTACAAGGTTAGTGTTATGTTCCCAGTTTATACTAATCTGATTATGTCATAATTGTGTTAGTTTAACCTGATTATGTAACCTATTTTAACCCTGTTACTAAACATTTTATTATTATTTAAGTATAAATCAAATATGAATATTGTGTTGTCCTTTTTTTTTGGTGGTAATGATTTTGTCCTCATTTTCATGAACATTTTTTTAAATGGATCATGTTGTGTTGTGAGTTACACAAGGCAGTAATTAAACGAGTTACAAAGTTAGTGTTATGCTCCCAGTTTAATAAACAAGCCTTGATCAGGTTAACCTATATAAACAATATACTATTAAGTTGACACAACACAAAAGTGACCCGGCAACACGAATTGCCATCTCTTGTTGAAAAGTTCAAGTTTATTTATGTTCTTTTTTATGCATTGTACTTCTACATCATGTAGAAAGGAAGCTGTCGACAGAGGTTCAAAAAAGTTTGGCCATGTCTACCATTTTTTTTGGACCTCTGTATTGTTGCAATGGTAAAAACTAAAAAGCAAATATCAAGTATTTTTCAGGACATTGCTTAAGCTCTTACATTAGATATCATAGTGAAGAATGACAGTTAGAAAATTATGGGGATTTGTGATTGATCTTTGTGAAATTTAAACTCCACCGTATATGCATTCTGGTTGTTTCGTGTCAACCATTGTTAGTCTATTTTAGGTTTCAATGTGTTGAAAGAAAAAATGTTGCCCACAGAGAGTAAATCTTCTCATGCTTGTTCTTTTAAAAGTGAACTTAATATGTAACCTAGACTATATTTGTGATGTTCAAAGGTTTGCTTAAATACCTAGATTCATATTTAATCTGTTAAATTTATATTTTTATGTTATTGCAGTTCTAATGGAAGCCCATCTGTTTCATCGGATGAATCAAGACATATGGGAATTTTGAAAGAAGCACTGTTGAGAACAATTCGAGATATTGATTTAGCATTCTCTGAGGCAAGTAGATCACTTGTAGTCCTTGTTTCGAGTTCTTCACAAAAAATTTATAGTAGTCAAAATTTCTTTCTTCTAACTGTTGCATGGTAATCTATCCTTTTCAGGAAGCTGTCACAAAGAATCTTCGTTCAGCTTCTACAGCCACCATTGTAGTTATGGTACACGGTCATATGTTAGTTGTCAGTGTTGGTCATCCCAAGGCCCTGCTTTGCTCTGAAAAAGTTCATTCTCATGAAGAGATGGAAGGTTTAGCATTTCTCTTTTTCTTAATTTCATTCATTCATTTAGTTCAGTTTTAAATTCACTCCTCATTATTGATTTTGTGAAGCGCTCATCATGGTCAGAACTTTGCCTGCTCCGAGAAAAAGATATACCATAACCCCAAACCAGAGTTATTGAATACATTGGCCAATCAAAACATCCCATTTATTTTGATACTAGGATAGAAAATGAAATTGTTTTGATTGGGTGGGGTATTCAATAACAGTTAAACAAACGCCCAATCTTTTCAAAATTGGACTAGGAATTGTCAGATTTTGGGAATGCAAGGAACTTATCTTAGTCCTCTCCATCGTTATTGATTTTGTAATGCATTATCTAAATGACTACAAGGAATTAGCTGTCCTTTTTTTTTCGTATACTAAAGCAACAAAATCAATTGAGAAAGTTTGATAGAACTATGTATTTACATTATACAAAAAGGAAGGTCCAGTCTATACAAAATGGAAGGTCCAGTCTCAGAGTTCAGCCTCATCCTCTGAGTATTTCTTTCCCTGCACGGCCACAATTTATCATGTGCAAAAATTAGAAGTTATGCACATATCAAAAGGGAAAAGACCATAAGCATAAGAATAGACAAAAAAAAAAAAAAACCACAATATATATATACACACACACACACATGTATATATATATTCCTGAATACATTAACTTTTTGAATCTCAAATATCGCATATACATTATTACCATATAATTATAAACAAACTGAGTGCTAATTTAAGCTGTCATGTTGCTAATACATGTAATGATAACATCCCAAGCTTTTATTTTAGTCTACATTCTCATGTTTGATAAGCTTTTAGAACCAAACCAAATGTGCTGTTCAGAAGATCCGATAATTTAAGATGGCCATTCCAAAAGGAAGGACACGATCCTTCACAGCTTGGCGAAGCATCATTGCTCAAAGCTAGGGATGCCTATTGACAGGATAGATCTGCCAGTCACTAGTCATATGGATGATAGAAGGATTCTCTATCCAACAACATTGAATGTTTCCTAACATCTCGGTACGGCTCATTGAATTGTAATTATGTAAGTAAATCATGGAAGGGTGGGGTAATTGGAATTGTATTGAGAATCACTCAACAAAATCTTTTACATTCCCATAAGCTATATCAGAATGAAGGATAAAGAAGTTGAGATCACCATATCACATCAAAAAGGATATATGGCAGAAAAGAAAAAGGTTGCATATAGATAAGAAACTGAAAAAATTAAGTTCACATTTCCTTCAACTTACTTTGAAGTATGGATGCTGCAAAGCAACCTCTGCAGTCAAGCGTTTCTCCTGCAATGAAGTAGTATTATGGCAAGAACACAAAGCTTACATAATAAAAGGATAATGTAAAATAACAAGAGTAAGATAAACTAAACAACGGAAAAGCCCCAATTAATTTGGTCGAAATTGTGCCTAAAATCTGCAGCATATATTCTAATCAGTTGGCAAGAAGTCCACCTACTTGAGGAATGATGCACTGCAAAGAATCTTATCACTGCCTAGTAAAAATGTCAATGACATCCGTCGTGTACTGTCAATACTTCTAACCACCATGAACACCCGACTTCTACAACTTATCTCTTCTGATGACCAAGGGCCTTGTATCCTAGTGGTACTTCCTCACCTTCCAAAGTAGAAGGTCGAGAGTTCAACTCCCCATAGGTGCAAAAGTGAGTGTGTGTGTTGCCAATGAAAAAAATAATAATTTCTCTGCAGATGAATCTTCTTCATTTTAATGATCTTTAAAATTGTTGTCCATCACAACCCAGACATTGTAAAAGAGCACAAAAACCTTTCACCTTCCCAGAAAAGCATGCACAAATTGAAGAAAGTGCTTCCATCATTCTAAACAAGACCCCTAAGCCTAAAGTTGCCAGGAATACCTTAAGAGAGCTCAGAAAACTAAATTCAATTCTACCCCTTGCATATGTAAGTAAATAATATTTGTACTTGATTTGCACTTAATATATATGCAAATAACTCAATAACTTTTTGATCTGAGGGGGAGTTGCGTTTAACAATAAAAGAACTGAAATAGATTACGTTGCAAATGTTTACTTTCATAATTATAGTGATACCTCCATATTCTGCCAGTTAAATTAAGTGTTTAGTCTTTTTCCACCTCTACTTCAAGCACTTTTTTAGCCTTATTTCATATTTATATTAGTCTTTAGGTTGTGGCATTATGACAATACCATTGTTATTAGAATGAACTAAACCAAAACAATTTAAAACAAATAAAGGTCCAGCTGAAGTGGACGGAATTGTTGCCCAAAGGTCTCTAGCATGTCTATTACTTAGCTTGGCAAGAATCCACCAAGCTACTTGAGGAATGATGCAGAATGAGAATCAAACCCACAACCTAGTGGAAATGACAAAGACATCCCTCACATACTGCCAATACTTCAAACCACCGTAAATTACCTGATTTCAACCACTTATCAGTGCAGATGGATCTCCGTCAACTGAAAGAACTTTAGAATCATTATCCTTATAATTATTCCTTAGATTGTGCTAAAGATTCAAAATCCATTTTCATCTAAAAATAAATAAATAAACCCATTGGATTAATTCATAAACTTGCTCTCTCTTGTATGCTGAAACAAATATGTAAGAGCACATTGTAATGTTTTTGACTTTATATATATATATATATATATATATATATATATATATGTTAAAGTTAGATAAAATTTTATTCACCTGTGGGGCCCACATGATTTATAAGCCAATATAATGACTTATCTCTTCTTCTCTGCGTATCACACTCTCTCTCGTCCAGTAGCTCTTTTTTTTTTTTCTTTTTTTGTTCTTCAAAGCTTCAAGGCTTAATTTCTCTCTCATCTCTTATCGGATTAAGGTGCCGTTTGAGGCAAAACGAAGCCCACGACGAGCTCTACGCATCCATACGAATAATTCCAGATTTGGTGCCCTTCTTGGAGTTCGAAATTCAAAACCCATTTTTAAGGGTTTTGTGCAAATTTGAGGTAGGGACACCTTAATCCACTACCTTCTTGTTCCATTGTGAGTTATAATCATTTGTTGTGCCAAGCATACTTAATTAGAAGTTAATTTTATCAATGATTATTTTAAATGTTGTCTAGAGAAATTTATGTATTTGAATGTGAGTTGTTTTATGTGTAAAGCATGCTTAAATGTATTTTGTTATATTTTAATGTGTTAATAATTACTTGGGAGATGTTGAACATGTTGAATGTTTAATTTTATGGTGTAGAATTTTAAATGCCATGACATTGAATGTATGAAACATATATACATGCACATACCATTGGGTTTGCATGAAATGGGAGAAATTGTTCTTGAAATAAATATGGGGAATTTCAGGGAAGTGTTTTTGATGAAATGGTTTTATGCGAAACCCGATCGCTGTGGGGTTACCAACGGGCCGGAGGTTAATATAGCCTAGAGGGGACTAGGGAGTCGCCCTAGCGTGGTTGAGCTAGCTGGGCCCCATAATGACGCCGCGGGGTTACCAAGGGTCAGGGACACTAGCCAATCCTCCTCTCGTGTCGCGGCAGGGCTACCAAAGGGCGGGCTGTATTAACAGTTTGGAAATGATGTTTTGGATTATGAAAATGGGGAGCGACACTAGCATGCATTGCATCTCCTACCATTGCATTGGATATACTTGACATTGAATCGTTATGTTGTATTATTTCCCGACATTGTATGATCCCCATTTCCCATTGGCTTATACTTTGTTTGGATTCACAAGGACACAAGATGTGTGTCTTAAGTGTCACCTGCTGAGCTTTATGCTCACCCTACTATTTATATTATTTTTTTTTAGGTCTTGGAAATGAACTAGTGGACGACAATCCACCTCAAGCTTGAAAATTGTTAGAAGGTTGTTTGCTATTTTGTATTTTGACCGTTCTATGTATATTCGTAGTTGTGAAAATGTAACTAAGTTAGTATTCATGGCCTTGTAACTTAAGAACGAACTTATCTTTTGTTTGATGTAAATGAAACTAGTAGAATTATGGTATATGTTTCCATGCAATTGTATCATGTAACGTTGTAAGACAGGGACTTTAAATATTAATCTTGTATTTTGGGACTGTAATTATGATAATTTAGATTAATTGGTGTGTGGATGTTCCACCATGAAAGGAACTATGTTAAGGTATCATGAACGGATGAATGGGATGCTAGATGATTTTATGTGTTTTGTGTATTGGGACAGGTTGTTGAAGGTCCATTTTTAGGGGAGGTTATGCCGATTTTTTTTTTAAATTTTTGGCATCAGCTAGGGTCGTTACAAATTTGGTATCAGAGCGATGGTTCGAATATCATTAGGACGACGGGTAGAGGCTTGCCTAGGGTTGTCTGGGAAGTCATTTGCATTGTTATTTCCTTGTTTGGAAAAGTGTTTTGCTATGTGAAAAGCATGCTTAACTGCTTACTTACTTACGTGCTTATGTGTTTATATGCTTACATTAATGTGTTCATTGCATAGTATTACATGCTAAATGTTTGTACAGTATGTTTTTGCGTTGGGTTGTTCACGGTTGGACCTTAGTGTTATCGTTATTGAATTGTTTCCTTTGTTTTATAGAACGATGTCACGGCGTGAGGAAATTAGGGAAGTTGGCCCTAGACCGACTAGGGGTGATGTTGGTGAGAGCTCCAGCTCCAATCCGGAGGAGCTAAATGATGAGGATACACTTCTTAGGGACTTGATTCCCCCGAGAGCTGTCCCTACAAGGAGGGATAATGTTGAAGCACCCGTAGAAGTGGGTGAAGGTTCTGTGGCACTGGAGTTTAATCGTTTGTTGCAAAATGTCGTGAGGGCAACGATTGCTGCTCAGTAGCAGTCGGCACCACAACCTACAGTTCAAGTTGAGGAGACGCCAGCTCAGAAGTGTCTCAAGATTATTAAGGGGTTTTCTCAGCTGATGCCGGTTATGTTTGAAGGTGGTGCAGATCCAATGATAGCAGATGACTA